CTTGCATATATATGGTACTTTCTTTTCATTCTAAAAATGCTTTATATCATCATTTAACTTCTGTAGAGTTTGCTCTTATATTGCAGAATCATCTAATCTATACGATACTTTGTTGAATTTGTCGTTGCTGGTTCACTCATAGTAGATTAAAACACCAGAAATATCTTACAAATAAGAAATGAAATGAGAATACTCTTTTCTTTCATACCTTTGAAAATATATCATCGAAGAAAACGTTTGATAAATACTCACTAAACACACCTAAATATGAAGAAAAGAAAAACAAACCAATATATATATACGATATTTTTTCTCCTCTTATCTTTTCTCTTGAAAATTACCTCCACAAGCCATTTTTTTTTATCTCGTCATCATTTGTGTAATGTAAAGTGACGTTATATGATGCTTTGACCTATCTGTTTTCTTTCTATTCCTATCAAAATTTCAACACAAGTGAAGAAAGAAAAAGAATATACAAACATTGAATCATTATTTTTTGCCGTTTTGATATAAACATTCGTAATATGAAAAAAACAGGTGATTAAGTTGAAAAATTCGAAATGAGAATGAATAAACAGAAAAATTCAACATATGATTAAGTCATATGACAAAAAAGAAATAGAAATAAATTGTCAATATGGGCATATAGTCGATTGTATAGAATATATGACGGTCTCTTTAAAATAGAAAGCATTATCAGTTAAATGGAAAGTATAAGAAAAAGGGAAACAGAGAAGAATTGAATTACGTTAACAATGTTATTTTTTTCTAAGGGTGAATAATTTCTTTTCGTCTATCAATACTTGCATTATTTTTCTTCCTATCTTTTTTTATGCATTCTGGTCATAGATTCTTCTTAAAGACAGCTTTTAGTGTTGTAAGATTCGATTACAAAATAATTATGCAAGGAAAAGAAATCGACAAATTCCAAACAGATAATAAAGTCCTTTTTTTCGGTAGGAAAGTTTTTTTTGATTCATTTGAAAATGTAAACCATCTGCAGTTCGTTGAGAGCTTTAGAATAGTGTATTCTGATTTTCGATGGCATCTAACCAATTCTAATGAGAGTAAAAGTTAGAACTATTTCTAAAGTATAGTCCAGTCTATATATCTTATGAACTATTTAATCGTTTGATTAGAATTAGCTCACTCAATGAAATTCTATGATTTGTGTCAAACTGGATATGCACAGTTTTTACGACAGTTGAGTGAGAAGATTGAACGTGAAAACATTGATTGTCTTACACTAAAGAAAAGATAGTTAGAAGTGTTTTACCTGTTGATTCACTTCATTCTAGAAATCATTTATGAAACTTATAATGAAACATATATGAGAGTTATATATAATTAGAACATAAATTTCAAATTATTCAGTTTGATAGAGACCTTGATGAGGATGTGGATGTTTGATTTATCTTTCGTTCATGGCATCATTCACCCTGAAGCTGTAGATACCAACGGTACTGAAATTGACTTTTTAAAGTAAAATTCAACGTTTGATTTTCTTACGAACCAACGGCAATCGATGCTTATCATGAAAAAGACGACATGGATAATATATGATCTAAATACTTATTGAAATTTCAACACATTATAATAATTTAATCTCTAATAGTCAATAAAATTTGGTAAATTTTTATTGTTTGATTTATATGAAAGTGATGAGAAATTATTTTAATTCTTCTTACAGTAGATCATATTTTCAATGAAAATATTTTTAATTTAATAGAATTAAATTCTAGTATTAATATTAGCAGAAAATTAATGTAAATAATAACCTTCTCTATTAAAAATAGTTATATTGAATAGCACTTTAATATTGATTATTGTTTAACAATCTTTATATGAACAAATCATTTCTCCTATTTCTTTATCAAATATTTTTTATATAATAATCAAGTGAAGTCAAAAGATATGAAATAAATAATTAAATATTCAATCTACAATTTTTATTTTAATAAATTTGCGTGATTATGTATTGTACGCGAGAATATCATGGAACCTAACAATACATTTAAACGTGAAAAAAATGAAAGTCACATCACATCAATTGACTATATTAGAAACAATAGACTGCACTACTTTCTTTCCATCGAGCATCTCTGCTAACCAATTACCGTGGCTATTCTTCTGCTTCACATAAGCATCGAGCGTTTGTCGACATCTTGCCCGAATACGTCGCAGTGCTTGCAGCTCCGTGATGGATAGTTGTGTGTGTAGTTGCTCGCATGCAGGAAACACGTGCTCGATAAAGCCATCTTGTAGACCAACGAGAATCGCTTCGTTGCGCTCAGGATGAGCCGATACACACAATAGTTGCGTGACGAATTCACGTACATGTTCGCTAGTATCTTTGAGTGCGACACCGGCAATCTCCACCACGCCGAGTATGGGACCATTGTTGGTCACCTCGTCCATACCAGTACACGTATCAGAATCCGGTAAGAAGCCATACAGTGCTCGAAGACATCGAATAGCCATCATACCGTAGGTGCTGGCGCATTTGGCAGGAAACGAAGGCAGGTATTCGAAGGGTACGGCCGATACTGATAGTAGAGATAAAATGGCATGATTCTTCTCTTGAAGAGATAACGGCGAGAAGAAATTTGTCGGCATCAGACGACTCGTGTACTGACGAGGTGCAGACGGGCAAGCAAGAATGTCAGACCATTCGCACGTGACACCAATAACTGGAACCTTTGTCTCGACACCTGTAAATGCTTCGTAGGATTGAGTTCTCTTGATCGGGAGATTGTGTTGGTTTAAATCGCAAATCCATGCTTCGAGAACGGCGACTTCTTGCGACGTGAACGCTCCAAACATTCGTCCACCCCACTTCATCTCGCGAATCAGTTTACTTTTTTCAGGTTCACCGCGAACAACCCAACGACTATCTGCAAGTGCACGTAAGAAGGCTAGTGAGTGAGTAGGATAAAGGATCGGATCGAGCCAGTCATCCAGCTTCTTTCCCATTTGACCACCAATCTTTGCAGGACAAGATGCATGCATCGGCTGAGCTGCAATAGTCTTCTCACCGAATATTTTATCCAGCGCTGCATCAAGATCAGATCGAGGTGACGGCGTCGTGGGAAGTTCAGATGCCAAAATGAAACCTGCCTGAATACGTTTCCAGGCCGCGTCTCGCTCGGCGACAGGCAGTGAAGCCATGTAACCGACAACAGCGTTGACACCCATTGCTGCGTGACCCGAATGGTTGTTGTCGATCGAAACATGCAAAACGAAATAGTACGGATCGATTTTCAGTTCGCGCAGTTCGTGAATAGTAATGAGTATATGCACTGGTAGGCTTTCGTAAGACATGTTGAAGCCGAGAATTTCAGGAAGAAACGATTCGGGGAAAAGGGAGATGCACAGCTGAGCGATGGCTGCCGTCCAAACGCGACTTTCGTTGTTCAAGTTTCGTAACGAGGAGATGAATTCTTTGGAATCTCCATTACCAATATCATCGACGTCAATGGACTGTAATAGTTGCTGGTAGACCCAAACGTGATTTTTCTGCAGATCACCATCGCCGAACTCTTCGCTGAGAATTTGCCATAACGTCTTGGTATACGAACGATGTGCGAGGCTTGTTGTCACTCGATGTACACCACCGAGCCAAGCACCATCAACGTACTTGACAGGCGCGGCACTGCGGAGCCAATATTTGGCATGCTCTAGATCAGAGAGCAATTCACGGGTACCTCCGGCTTTTCGACGTTTCAAGTAAGCCTTGAAGCGTGTGCCGACGTCGGTATATTCTGCATCGAGAAATTTAGTGAGCGCCTCGGGTGAAAATGTAGGCACCGCATTAAGAATGTTCTTTGAACACGATGCTCGTGCTCTGTCTATAGTAATGTCGAAGAGTGAGAGAAGGCGTTGATAGGCGACACGTAGAGCTTCCGGATAGTATTCGAGGTTTTGCAGTTGATAGTACAGTTGCTTATCGAGGCCGAGCGGAAGGATCGTGGTTGTAGAGTAGTCATCCGAAACTAAATTTTTCTAAAAGAAACAAACAACATTAGCGTGATTTTTAATGCAAATAGACGTTTACACGTTATGTCAGTGAAAAACGTACTTTTTGAGAGGCAAACTGCTGCTTGTTCACTTCATGTTTGCCAGTGCCATCAGATATTTTTCCATTTATTGTACGAGTGAGCCAATAGTAGATCGAGAGAAGAAGCTCGAGAAGGATCGACAATATAAGAAGCATATTGATTGTATATGTATTGACGACGATAATGATTCAGCAAAAGATTTTTAAAAGAAATGAATGAAAAGAGTATCTAAAAAGAACCAGGTTAGTTTTAGCTATATATTGATTTTTTTAAATGTATTTTATCGATTATTGAACTAAAAATAAATAACAAGAACAAACTTCTTTTGTTATTAATGTGTAAATATATATATTTATGATAAAATGAGGACAGTGTACGAAGGTTAAATACAACCATGTATTCATCGACAAGCGACGTAATGCTTACATTGTATTTTTATCCTCGTGTTTCTTGACGAGAAAGAAATAAGAATATCACATGCTATATGCACGTGACTTTTTGACCCTACCATTCGTATCATTATACTGCGTTGACGATGGACGAGAGAAGAAAAGAAAGAAAGAAAGAAACAAAGAGAGAAAGAGAAAAAGAAAAAGAAAGGATTAATTTCGTCTTCGAGGTCAGTTACATTTTACGTTCGTACTCTTTCACTTCAATATCAAACAGTATAGCTGAATGCCTTCGATGACGTATGATGATCAGTCCTTGCTTCACTTCGCACAAGCGGTCAAGTGTACCGGCTATCACTTTGTTACAGTGACACCAGCGGTAAGTTATTTTTATCGTTGATTGAACAGAATATTTGCATAGAATATTGTTTAGACGCACGCGCGTGTCAATGCTCAACCGGAAAATAGCTGGGCACACTCTTTAAGGGATGTGCTAGGATGGAGTCGGCCGTTTCGTTCCAGTCGATTCGCTGGTGAAGAGAATTTGCTCGATATGATGCACAAAGCACAGATACTTCGTCAAGTGAACGACAAAGACAGCTGGCAAAGCTTAGTACGAATATCCAGTCTCGACGGTGAATTATTTCTTCATTCCGCATATCCGACATTGGCCGACGAATCTGTCTTCTTCGGACCTGATACATATCGATTTGCGCGAGCAATTCGTGCTGCTGTGACTGCGCGTCAACCGTCTGTTTGCCGTGCCGTCGATATCGGCTGTGGAGCTGGGCCAGGTGCTGTGATGCTCGCCAAAGCCTACCCGAAGGCGGAAGTATTCGGAGTGGATATCAACCATGCTGCACTTCGTTTAACGGCGATCAATGCTCGACTTGCCAACGTCAACGTCATCGCTTGTCATAGTGATCTTCTGAAAAATATCCAAGGTGATTTCGATCTGATCGTTTCCAATCCGCCGTATCTAGTCGATCAATTCAAACGAAAGTATCGACATGGTGGCGGCTCGCTTGGATCGGAGTTGTCGGTTGCTATCGTTGATGCTTCCTGTGAACGACTCGCGCCCGGTGGAACGCTGATTCTCTACACCGGCTCGGCTATTATCAATGGTCAAGATCTGTTCTATGAAGAAATAAAAAAGAAATTGGCTCAATCCACTCTACTCTGGACATACGAAGAAGTGGATCCAGATGTGTTTGGGGAAGAACTCGAGACCGAATTCTATGCTCACGCCGATCGCATCGCGGCTGTCGTTCTCACCATATCGCGACTTTAATCTCTTATTCTTTGTTAATTATGTCTCATTTTTGTGATCCTATTAGCTTTGCTTGTTAACGCTGAAAACAATATCGGCGATTCAGAACAAAATTAGCACGAACTACCAAGAGGGTAGAGTCGTTCAAGAAACAGAGCAGTTTTATATCAACAATCCATCATTTAGGGATAGATTAACTGAAATAACTCGGTTCATAGCAGTGGCTTCGAGATCAGTGAAAAAGAGTACAGGTAGTGGAGAGCAGAGGTGGGATCGGTTCGTGTTTTTTAACAACCGAATCGAACCGAACCGAGCTTAAAAGAAGTGATGTTTATACATTCACCCGATTTATAAATAATACAGTATACACAAATTGCCCATCTATATGTTAATGCTCAGAAAAATAGAATAAAGGATGAGATCTCTTTGTACAAGATCTTTTCATATTACATAGAAAAGGTGCCGATAAGAGTGTAAGTGAGGATATGGCCGTGGGTTTTCAATTTATGCTTTGCACTCACACCAATAAAAAAACATATAAAGAGAAAATAAATTTATAGATAGGAATACTTTTATATAATTATCAACCTTCATTTTATTAGAGAGATACATTTCTTTCTATTCATATTTGATAATGAATGTTGTTTTATACTTTTCCATCACGTCAGGTAAAAGTAATTTATATACATTGTTTTGTTTAGTTGACTATGATATTGAATTAGTTATACAACAAAACTCAACTAATCAAATTAGAATGAATTCTCATTTTAAGAAAAATTATTGAAAACTCATATTCGTTTTAAATTATTCATATGTCAATTTAAACTATGAACACACCCTGAACAAGATCAACAAACTAGTTGTATCTATTAACTTTTCCACAGATCTCTATACCTATTTAAATATATATATAATCACAAGATATAAAATGAAATTAACCTGTAAATTTTTTATTTGTTTCACGATAAATAGATTAAATAATATGAGTAATATTATATCAGAATTTTTTTCATATGTAATAATATTAATTCTGAATCATCAATCAAAGAACATGAATATTCATCATTTAAACTTATATCTCATACAATTATCATTTCTTCATTTTCATGATTCAAAAGAAAACGATCTTCTACATGTTCAGATTTTATACAAACGGTACGTGAGTGTGCATGGATTGTTAGTTCGGATATTTATCTTTGAATGATTCACACCTAGTATTTTGGATGAAATTGCCTATTCTTAGACAATATCTCCTTTTCAGATGAATCCATTCGAAGCGAACTTAAATTTAGGGCCTATCTCAATACGTAGAGACCTATTGCAAATTCCTAACTGAATATCGATACGAGAAAATCGAGTCTACTGCTGACTTTACTTATGTTTTATGAATATATTTACAAAAACACAAGTCTCAAATCACAGAAATATTTTTCATTTTATTTTTGAGAACAAAAAAGATTTTTCCACAGCTGAGCGTATTGTTGTCAAATTAATCTAAAAATATTTAAGAAATAGATTTTAGAATTGAGTTCATAATACAGCTTAATTATTTTTATTCATTATTTGTCAACTTAAACTAACTGAAATTTGATAAAAAATATTTCAAATTATTTATTTGATCATTTTTTCAACTATTCTAATGAGACCTTTTTCTTAAGAAATTCTACTTTGAATTGTCAATATAGATTGAGAAGTAATAAAAACATCTTCAAATTGTTTTTGTTTTTATCTATTTTCAGTGAACAAACAAAAACAAAGACTTCATTCATCTGGAATTAATCAATCATTTGGTTTTTTTTGATGAAAAAGAAGAAAGTTCAATTCGAAAAAAGAGAAAACATTTTGAAGAAAGCTTCTTATTCAAAGATCAACAGAAAGAAAATGTTGCTTTTTTATTTAAAGGAATAGAATTAAATATTTATTTAAATTTCCAAAAAACATAATGAATCTTTTTCAAAGTTTTATTACTGTTTTATTTTGTTTGGGTTACTTGGTTTATTTTTTGTTCCAATTTTTTTTGTTTTCGCCTATATGAAGATCTTTTTAATATCTGTTTCGTTCACCAAAATCCATTTTGAATTCAATTTTTATTTTCGAGTTTTCATAGAAGATTCCTTTTCTTTTCATTCTTGAACAATTTTCAAATTTTATTAAATCAAAAAGCTAAAAACATTTGATTATTTTCATCAAATAAAAATATTCAATTAGAATTTTATCATACATAAAATCTTCTTCTCGAATAGTTTCTATTTAATTTGATTCAAAGTACAAAATATTTTCCTTTTTTATCTTTCACAAAATTCAACAAAAGATGAAGAATCTAATGTTTATTTATTGGAATTTTTAATCAAGATTATCAAATCAAATTAAATTTTAAAGAGAAAAATTCTAGAAAATTTTTCTTCAATCTTTTTTATCCAATAAAAAACTTTTTTTCTTTTTCTCAAAATCAAAATTTCATTCACAAAATTATTTCAAATTTTGCAATTCGATGATTATAATGATCAGCAACATAAAGATTTCCTTCATCATCAAAAGATAAATCGCCGAGATAATGCAACTGATTTGTTTGATTTCCTTGACCATTTCCACCGACAACAATTTCACCGTCTTCTTTTCCTTTACACCAACGCATTACTCGATTATTCCCATTATCTGCCACATATATCTGACCAAAATGATCAACAATTACTCCTTGAGGACAAGACAATTGATTAAGATTCTCTCCTTGACCATTTCCTCCAGCCACAATTTGCCCTTTTTTTGCACCTTTTCTCCATTTCATCACACGATGATTTGTATGATCTGATACATAAATAGATTGTTCTTCATCAACAAAAATGAAACTAGGATAATTAAATTGATTGAGTTGATCTCCTTCTCCATTTCCACCGGCCACTACAATTCCTTCATTGCTATATTCTCCCATTTTCCATCGTCTCACTTCATTCCTCCACGAAACAGAGACATAAAGAAATCCATGCTTATCAATTGCTAATCCATAACAGTCAATATCCTTAATGAGAATGTGTTGATTTTGATTCATCCATCGAATCACTCGTCTATTCACAAAATCAGCAATGATGATCGAATGATTTTGTTGATCAACTATCACATCTATTGGTAGATCCAATTGATCCATTCGATTTCCTTGTTGATTTCCACCTGCAAGGATTTGTCCTTCTTTTGCATTATATTTCCATTCAACAATACGATGATTACTAAAATCAGCAATGAAAATATTTTTCTTTTTATCGATAAAGATGCCAAATGGGTGGTTGAGTTGATTTAGTTCTTGTCCTTTTCCATATCCACCAGCTACAGTGATGGCATTTTGTTTCCATTTGTTGAATTTTGATACTAGAAAATAATGAAAACAAAATAGGGTGGATGTGGGTGAGTGATTCTTCTGATATACGCACACAGAAAAGTTCTCAAAAATAGAACACAGTTGTTTTATGATGAAAATGATACTACCAGATACTGAGTAATTTTATTCTATTTTGAGAGTTACTTCTCGGTGTTGAGTACTACTATTTTGTTTTGGAAATATCACTTCCCATTCCATAACAGATTTGTTCTGTATTTAATTATTAATTTGTTTCGGACGGTCATATAATTTCAAATATCATCAGGTAAAATATGAATGTGTAAGTAAACTACGAATTTAGAATCTATGTGTGGAGCTTATTTTGTGAACCCAAGAAATATATCAACTCTTATTTTTTCTTTTATAACAAAACTTTACCATTCTTTGTTGTTGTATGGAAATTTGTCGACGTTATAAGCATTGTTGTTTCTGCTATCGATATTGTAGTTATTGCGGTTTTTGTTGTCGGCGTTGTTTCTGTTGTCAATGTCGTAAACATTGTTGTTTTTGTTATCGACGTTGTAAGCATTGCTATTTCTGTTGACGACGTTGTACGCATTTTTATTGTTGTTGTCGACGTTGTGAGAATTGTTGTTCCTGTTGTCGATGCATCAGTTGTAGCTGTAGTTGTATTAACCGTTGTTTCGGCTTTTTAAATGAAAATAAACCATGTTGTAATACTAATAATAGTTATTAGGATAAGAATAACAGCGGCAATTGAAAAACAAAAAACAATTTTTCTATGAGATAAAGATCTAAAATGATAGATATATTTCGAATAATTAAATTAAATACTTACGATCCTGTTTGTGGACGAGTAGATTGTTTAATATTATTTTTATTCTCAGATTCAAACTAAATATTAGAAAAAAAATTATTCATTTAGAATTCTTGGAAAAGTGTTGATTGTTCTTGTAACTAATCATCGAATCTATTCAATTTGTTAATCTTTTCTTGAATAACAATAAAGAAAAATAAATCTCTTTCAGAAATATTTTATTTTGAGCATGAATATTTCATCTATTTTTAAAATTTATTTTTTGTCGAATAAAGATAAGAATATGTTTAACAGTTTTTTTAATTCTGTGTAAAAATTCTCAGAAAAAGCAATGAGAGATTTGATCTTGAATATATATATTTATGTTTCTTTAAATAAAAACTCAACTTGAATCAATCGTTTCTATGTAGAATATTTTAGTTTGAGATGATATTAAAAATAATGCAACGATTTATGATGATTTTTTTTTCTTATCGATGAGAATAAATTTATTGAAGAAACGATTTGTTAGTAAAAAGTATTAGTGAACGTGAAATGTATTGACATTATTTAAAGTTTGTTTTATACGTAAAGAAAGAATATCTAATATTTATTTCTGTTTATTGAGATAAGATTTCTTCCGTTGTTTTTAACGGAAAAACACTCAAAAAGCTCTTCTTACATATTCTGCACGTCTGTCTTTCATACAATGCAAATAGTTCTTTTAGATCTATCTTTCTAAAATAGTTATTCCATTTCGTGACTTTTTTTGACAAACTCATACATATAAACATCTACTTTGTTAGCTAAAACTCAAATAAAACAGAACTAGATGTGCTGGTTTAACATTATTATTAAACTAATTTTAGTACTAAACCAGTACCTCCAAAAACAATATCACTTAATACTTTGTGTTCTGGTGATGCATCATATGCAGTCGCTCGTTTTTCAGCCAACTCTATATCTTCTTCTTTGTTTTTATTAATAAGAAGTTTTTTATATTCCATGTTTTGGTACTTATGTTTAGATAACTTCTCAAGTGTTGGCTGTGATGATACTGTAGTTGTTACTTTTTTTCGTGGTGACGTTGATTGTGGTTCTAAAAAGATGAAATCAATTAAGAACAAATATTAGAAGTGCACTACTGACGAAAAAATCGTAATTATGCTATAGAAATTGTGTGATGAAATTGTCTTTATCTGAATTTGTGAAAAGAAAGCATTTTGAAGTTATCACTATAAGATCCATTTGACTAAGGAATTCTTTCCATCTAAGTCACAAATATGAATATACGCTTTTAAAAAATGTTTCATTTGGCACACTCAAAATTAAGAGTACCATTGATTGTAACCGTAAGTGCACTTAGAATTGTGAAGTCACTTAGAGCATGACATTTCTTGTGCAAAGAAAATAAGTTTTAGATAAGTAAATTCTTAATTGGAAAATATGTTTTCTTTTAAAACTAAATGTGGATATGACTGTTGGAAAAATACGCATAATCGCATCTATCCACATCCACCCTCAATTGCTGGGCCTATAAGAGATTGTCATACTTAATTGTCCTTTGACCAGTTTATCTAGGTATGAATGGAATCTTGATTTAGCAAAGAGCTCAAAGTCTATAGAATATTTTATCAATAAGTTCTTTGTAGGATAATTGGTAGTCATAATCTAAATAAAATCGGGTAATAAAATTTATATGATTCTCTCAAACACGATTCATATCTTCTTCTTTTTTTGCGGATTTTCAATATTTTAAAACTTCTCCTCTGACACTTATAAAATAATTTTCATACCTTTAATTGTGTATTAGTATGTCGTCTTTGTTTTGAAAAAAAATGTAAAGCTAAACGGGAACCATCTTTTTATTTTAACTTCGAAATTGGTATGTCTTATTTTTTTCTTACTTTATCACAGTTATCTATTACATTTCATTTATAACAAAAAAGAAGAAGAAGACCTTTTGAAAATAGCTACGATGGATTACAATAAAACAATTTAAAAAGTTATCTTTTAACATGTAATATGATACTGACGATGAAATGAGAAAAAACAAAACTCAACAAGAATTCATCGGAATCTATCCTTATTTAAGGTAAACTGAACATACATGTAACACTTGTTACATGGTGTATAGTCGATTTTAACATATTCTAATTGTACTATGTAACAAAAAATAATAAGAAACTGGAAAAAACATAGTTATCAGCACTCTTCGTGTTGATGTACTGATTCATTAATATGATTCTTATTATAACAACACATGGAACAATATGTACTATTATGCTAACATCTAGTTTTGGCTACTTCCAACTTATTTCAACATCATACCATCTTGAGTGTGGGTATGAATTAAAAGAAGATGAATACACTCACACCCACACATTCAAGATGTATATTTGATTTTACGATCAAATGCCAATATAGATTTTAAACAAAAATAAATAACAAGGAAAGTCATTTAATCTTTCTTGTTTATTACCGAGAATACAACGTTCATGTCTTTTATGTACCATTTTATATCGATAAAACAGTTTTAACGAAAACGTTGCTTACAATTGTTATCTCGATTTTGTCATTTCTAGTTGATGTCATTTTTTTTCTTCCGACAAGTAATTACAACATCATGTAAAATCTATGACACAATTAAAACAAATATTCACTCATTTGATGATAAGAGAGAACAGTATATATATATCCAACATATAAGAATACGGAACACACCTTTCTTCAACAATCCATAATGGAAAATCAAACAGTCACCAATTTCCAGACATTACCGGTAGAACTTGTCTACCGAATTCTGGACCAACAATCGGATCTTACGATCATATGTTCCATGAGAAACGTATGTCAACGATTCAGTGCCATCGTAGACAGTTATCACCGATATCAGGTCAACCTTTTTCTATCATGATCGCCTAATTTTCATCCATTAATTCTCGAATTATTTTTCATTCCCACAATCTCTATGCAAGCAGAATCACTTCAACAAAATAAACGTGACCGTTTTCCACAAAAACTCACTTTTTATATTATGACAATATCAAAAAGAGTGTCCTGATAATTAGAAAAATCAGTTCCTTTTTCTTTTTATTCAATTTCATGTAAATAATCCACGTTTCAAACTAAGTATGATGTCATAAACATATAGTGTTTAGATAAGGACAACAAAAAGAGATAAAACATTATTATTTGCGTTTTACCTATATGTAAGCACTTTTTTTTATATACCATTTTGATAATAAAAATCGGCTTTTGACAGAAATTAACCTTCTATACACTAGTTTCTTTTATTATAAATAACCTCTTTGATACTTCCTTGAGAAATACTTTCGACAAACACTCCTATCAGAGCATGTGCGACTGAAAGTGCCGGTGGTTGTGGATGCATAGAAAATTGACTCACAGCAACATTCACATTCTCATTCAATCACAACACTCAAACTAATACTATCAAGATGGAATATTCCTTCGAGGAATACTACTTCTAAAGTCAATTTTTTACCAAAGAAAGTTACACCGTGCCGGATTTCATGTAAAGCACAGTCTATTCAGAGCAGAATTTTGAGAATAAGCCGTTAACGCTATTCTCTTGTGTGACATTTTAGCATTTATTCACCTTCTTCTCATAATCAACTTAACATTACAGAATAAATCATCTGACTTATTTTTTACTTTTGATAAATCAACGTAGCCTCATGGACACAACCGTATAGTTACATCGAAAACAACTATCGAAATCATTACATATTCTTACTTATATAAATCATACACATCAAAAAGACTAAGTACGATAACTTAAATAGAGTACTTATGTAAAACACATATCGAGTCTAAACAACAAATGTAAAGAAAACTATCCACTAACGACTGATAAGGAGCTATCTTTCGTCATATCTACAGAATACTTACAAGCGCTGCACCATACTTAACTATGCTCCAAACCATTTACTGCAATACCTTGCCATTTGAATACATAATACTATTCTTCGCAATTGTTTTTCACAAGAGTAGCTTAAACACTACTTTTCATTAACTGAAGTATTTTTCCTTCTTTCCCGAACATTCATGAACTGAAGTGACACATAGATAAAAACTTTCTACTCCTAATTCAGCCTTAGTAGCTTATATTTAGTCTAAATGTTTGACAAAACACGATTACACACTGTAGAGCAAAGAAAATCGTATAAACGTTCATACTTGTATCTATACGACCACGAAGCCCATCACAACAGCATTACTTTCACTGTTCTAATTACAAGCAATACTGAATAGCTATTCTGTATCTTCATTGGTACCGTGTCTTTACCTCCACTTTTTCATCTAGACACTCACCGCACTGACACTCCAACGTATTGAAATCGGTGATAAAGGAGTGGAATATCTTGCCAATGCTCTAGCAATCAACAAAGTAACAACAACACTTGTCCTTCTTTCTATTCACTTCACTTCATCATCCACACACTTTTCACACAGACACTTACTACACTAGATCTCGGTTGGAATAAAATTGGTGCTCAAGGAGCACAATATTTTGCCAATTATCTACAAATCAACAAGGTACTAGTAATACTTGCTCTAGTTTCTCTTCATTCCACTTCATCATTCACACACTTTTCAAACAGACACTCACCACACTAGAGCTCGATTGGAATAAAATCGGTGATCAAGGAGCAGAATATCTTGCCAATGCTCTAGAAATCAACAAGGTAACAGCAACACTTATTCTTCTTCCTCTTCATTCCACTTCATCATTCACACACTTTCCACACAGACACTCACCACACTCAACCTCAAACAGAATGAAATCGGGGATCATGGAGCACAGTATCTTGCCAATGGTCTAGAAATCAACGAAGTAACGATAATACTTATCCTTCTTCCTCTTCACTTCACTTCACTTCATCATTCACACAGACACTCACTACACTGAATCTTTATAACAATGAAATCGGTGATCAAGGAGCACAATATCTTGCCAAGGCTCTACACATCTACAAAGTAACAAAAAGACTTGTTCTTCCTTTTCCTCTTCACTTCATCGTTCACACACTTTTCACACAGACACTCACCACACTCAACATCGGAGGCAATAAAATCGGTGATCAAGGAACACAATATTTTGCTAATTCTCTACAAATAAACAAAGTAACAACAATAATTCTTCCTTTTCGTCTTCACTTTATTTCATCTTTCACACTACTTTTCACACAGACACTCAGCACACTTATCCTTAATAACAATAAAATCGGTGCTAAAGAAGCACAAGATCTTGCTAATGCTTTGAAAATCAATGAAGTAACAATAATACTTGTTCTTCTTCCTCTTCACTTCACTTCATCATTCATATAGACACTCACATGGCTCAGCCTTTATGACAATCATATCGATCGTGATACAAAGACACGACTTGAGAAAATGTGCCAAAAAAATAATGGGCTGAAAATAAATCATTGATGAAAATCAGTACCACCGGTTGTAATTGTAACCACAAACAAGAATGCTTTTACTTTTAATGTCTATAAGATTTTTTATTGATTCAACAAATATATCTGATATCTTCGAGCAATAGGAGTTATTTTTCTTGTATCCATAGTTAGTAGAGACTACAGAGCTGTGGCGATTGTGGGTGTGGATGAGACTGAGTGTGGTGTGTGGGTATGAGTTTTATATCTATCGCGCATTCACGCCCACACATACACTTATCTAGACCAACACTTACACCCACCCAAGATGATGTTGCTGAATTGACGACGAATCGGCTAGTGCACCAAATGCTAATGTTATACCAAGGAGTGGAGGAGAAGATATGATGGAGGGAGATGTCTTCTATTGAAAAATCGGTGGCTATATATACTATACATGAAAATGATGAAAGATCTACAACATCAAGAGAAAACACAGAAAAAATGATGAAATAACAAGATGATGAAGATGTCACCAAATGATGACGTCATATGATGATGTACGAGGATGATGCAATGAGATCAAGAAAAGAAGAAATGGAGAAAGATCACGAGAGTTAACTATGATCATTCCGTGACATCATTCTTTTTCGTTTTTTTTCTTCCAACAAGTAATTATAACATCATGTGAAATCTATGACACAGAACAAATATACACTCATTTAATAATAAGGTAAAGAACAGTATATATATAACCAACATAGAAGGCTACGTAGTACACCTTTCTGCAACAGCCTACAATGGCAAATCAAACAGTCACCAATTTCCTTACAATACCGGTAGAAAT